AAATGTAGGCACCACATGTTGTGCTCCTGGCGAAGTAATCTTCGACCGGAAATATTTCCCTAATTGGAATCCGTTAGGAAGGTAGGCTTCAGCTAGCCCCGCAATTTCTTCCATGTCCGTGCATTGTTTATCGCATATCGCATTAATCATTAATAAATGTAACGGTGTATAATTACTACTGTCGTTAACGATATCGAGCGACTTCTCTATAATCCACTGGCGCGTAGATACAGCTATGCCCAGATTCTTGTCTGTGTTCGTAACCAAGTAATTGTTACGATCCAAGAATTTTTGAATCTGGCTCGGTTTAGGGGCGAGCGCCGTAAGAGGCCCGTCCGATTCCGCTGGGATATTGGCGATCGTGTCGAACACGAAGCGCTCTCCCGCAGCGATGCCAGCTTCAATATACTGTGGTGACCTCGGTGCCCGTACGTCGCGAGACTTGGGAATATCGAAGTCAGGATCATAGAGATCGTCGTCTGAGTTGTTCTTAGTAAAGCTAAAGTAAAGCCTCCAGCGGAGACGTTCTTTGAAATCTTCCCACGCTGACTTGATTAAGTCGGTATTGCGGGGGGTATAAAACATATATTTCATACCTACTGAGAGCTGAATTTCAATTTCTTTCGGGATAGAGACACCCGGTGACTTATGTACTGCGTTACGATACTGAGCCGCCAATAAAATATCAATAGGCGTATGTAAATGTACAAAATTTAAAGCTACCGGATATGGTACTGTGAGCAACCAGTCGGGATACGTAGCGGCAATGTCATACCTGAAATTAGTCGGGGTGCGCCCAGCGACTACTACTTCCCTGCTCTTCCCTTGCCCTTGTCTTTCGGCTTCGGGCGACCACTGCCCCCAGGCTTCGTTGCGTCGGGTACTTGTCGACGCGCCTTGGGTATATACTTGGGGGGAGGCGGATGCTCCGACCCCGTCGTGATCTTCTTGCCGGTCGAACTCCGCGACTTCTTGCCACCCTGTACTTGTTTCTAAGTAAGGAGTCAGTGAGAGTTTAGAAGAGGGATAAGGGAGGGTTCGCACCACACTCTTACGGCCCGGCTTCCTATCGACCTGCTTAAGGCGAGCGGCGACTGCTCGGTCGACCATCGATTGAATCGAGGGGCCGGCCCGAGTGGCGTCAGCCATCTCTACATCCGCTGCCTTAGCTAATGCCTTCTTTCGGTCTTGTTTCGCCGACGTCGCGTGAGAGGCTAACTCCACAATGGAGATCACCCTGAAGGCGTACACCACGACGTCGGCCAGCAAATTCTTGCATTCCGCGACCTTCTGAGCGTCTTCCACCCAGGTGAGCCCCTCTACTTTGTTGTCGGCGCTGAACTTGATGTTGGCAACACGACGGTTGCGCAACACTACCTGTCCGCGCTCAATAACGATTGGCGAGAGCCTCTCGTACAACTTTTCGGGGGTCAATGCCGCCTCCAGAAACCTAATGTCATCCCGCTTAGCCGCGAGGGCCGAGTCGAGGAGACCAGCGAGGTACGCCTTGTGAGCGTCCTCTAGGTTTTTGCGATGCATCAACGCATCGGGGGAGGAGCCGAAGTCCGCAGTCAGCTGGACCTCGGGCGCTTGCCGAAACAAGTGCGCAGGCATGGTCCC